AGACACAAAAAAAAAACAAAAAAAATACACATCATTGTAAAATCAATACATTCATCACTTCGTTCAGAATCTAAAATGTGCTTTTCGGGCAAATACTGCATACATGTGTGAATATAATATTTCATCTCATCTAACGCGCACTATACATTATAATAATATTAACTATTCACTATTCAGTGCATACAAGTAATAAATGTAATTTAAATGAAATATTTTGATGTGTTATCCGGGAATGTCGCCTGAGGGACAGCAAACATTGTTATTTACATCAAAACTATTATATAACATAAAAATAGACACATATAGAGATACGAACATTTCAAACTGCAATTTCAAAGCTCTAAACAAACTTTTATACTTATAGGCTATTACTAATTTATATAATTTTTATTTTTTATTTACCTATACCTACTGCCGTCTGCCAGTTTGATGTGTTATCTCAATCCACATTATTATTAGCTTATATTCTTATCATTGATAATACCATAACCTAGAACTAAAAGTCAGTTAACTCTATTATTAAAATTAACACAGTAAAAATGGATTCTTTTAAACCTAAAATTTGTTTTGTGATGCGTTAATAAGACAGAGATACTTGCGACACTTGTACATAGTTACGTTTTTTATTTTTCATATTAATGAATAAAGATATTCTATAAATTAAAATAGTTCCAAAAGTATTATGATATTTTCTTTTGAATATTAAATATATATTTTATATTTATTTATTAGATAATCATTATAAATTATAATTTATAAAAGTAAATATTGTTTACGTGCTCTCACTTAACAACATTTATTATGTGATTTAGAACAAAGCGTTACACCGAATAATTATATTGGTACATAAATTGTTATTATTATTAGTATGAATATACACTTAACTCTAATTATTAAACTATTTATCTCAGTATGGTTAATAAATACATAGATTGATTATTTTTTAATTAATCTATTTATTTATATATATATATTATGGACTCTGAATTGTATGATTTATTTTATTTATTTATTTATTTATGATTGATTGATTTCCATTTGTTAGTATTCATCTAATTGTGATTGAATATTTCACGACAAAAAATAACAGCTTAATATAGTCAAAATTTTGTTTCCTTATTGGTTACAACTTAAACTTTATGTTATATATTGTATAAAAATCAAAAACTGAAATTCACAAAGTTCTATTTTTTAGAATGATGATACATTATTACAAAATAGAAGTAAAATGAAAGCGGAATCGTACTTAAAAGAAAAACATGTAATGCCCTTGGTGAACCATTTAACCAGTGCATTGTTAATACACGAACCCAACGATCCAATAGAATTTCTCGTACATCGAGTGGAAGACATAATACATTTCCGGAATCACCGTGGCAAACCACCGATTCTGTTCACCAAAGATTATTTAACAAATGTTTTTAAGGGTGTAGACTTTTTAAATAAGGGTACGATTGATCTAAGTGAATACTTCAGTGGTGAGTTTAAATACCAACGATCATTTGATACGCAATTATCTCATACATGCTGCAGTAATAAAATACAGTGGCGTGGCAGTAGGTATATCATTTGCGCATCGCCTGCTTACCTGTACCAAATTATCGCACATCAAATGCGCATCAATATTCTAAACAATAATAGAAGAGTATAACAATTTGTGTTAGGTACATGATGTATAATATTATTTAGATGATAAATGCGCAAATGTCTTACAAAAAAAATTAAAATTAACAATAGCAGTGATGATGCGCAAAAGGCGATAACCAGCGAGTGGCGTAGCCAGGGAGATTTTGGGTGTTTAACCTCATTCCTCATTAATATTTTCMCTTGAATGAATGTATTATTGATGTTGATTACATACGAAAATTTAGTTCCCTCCCCCCATGGCATAATATTAGCCACGTCATTGAATTTAAATATATTAAATAATCTATGGAAAATTGGTACCTAGTAAAAGATTGGACGAACTTACTCGCAATTCKATGTCAATAATTTACCCACTGCTACCAAACTCGCTTAATGCAATAKGCCAAGTCACTAACTCGCTGAGTGTTGAACACTCATCGCCATTCGACCGCGAATTAATTTGACGACCTACTTTGTGTAATCGACATGTCTTTCGAAAAATAGCGACGAGTAGCGAATAGTAATTATCAATAGTCGTGACTATGATATTGATCGAACGAATTTAATACTTAAAGTGTAATTATTGGACTAGGTAATCACCATCATACACACGCTCATAATAAATTGTTCCAATTGTAATCCGCAAGCATTGGTTATAAATATGGATATAATAATGTATTCATCACTCATATAGACATTATTTATCATAAACATAGTACTATACAGTAAATATTAAAATAATTATTTGATTTTTATTATTTTGTTAAGTTTTTAACTAAATAACTTTATACTATGTGTAACCATTATAGTTGTTATACTTATTCCGAATTCAAATTAATATAGATTTATTAATTACGAAATGAGCGTATAATAAAATAAATTATAAATTAAACCTAGAATAACCTGAATAATCTTAACTTACTAATGGAGTAATAGTATGCCTATAAATATTATTTTGTTAGATATTTTACTACCTTTTTGAATGTAGGTTATATTATTGACTTACAAATATTAAATTGTATAACATACTTAGATATTTATTTATTATTAGAATAAAATAAATTATTTAAATCTAGATGATTCGATGATCCTCAATATCAAAATTGTATATTCTGGAATATGAATATTTTATATTCCCATCAATAATAATAATAATGCTTAATGGACTTAAAAATGTATTTTTATTAATTCGATTATTAATGGTTAGCTATGAAGATGCTGGGATTATGTGAAAATGATTTCAACCAAAATCCACAGGTGAACGAAAAAAACCAAATTGAATGTAAAGTATTCGTATATGAGGCGTAAGTAAAACATATTAAGAATTATATACTTTTAAATTTCATAAATTACCTAAGATGTCATGAGCTAATATTATGAACATCTAAAAGTTTTTAATTTTGAATAATAGATATTGATTATTTAAGATTTATTGTTGATTAATGATTATACAAAGATGATTAATATGTTTCTATATTTATTTACAATTCATTATGTAATATATATTAATATTATGTTATTTATTGAATGACTAGATAATTCATAATATGAGTCAATAATGATATACATAATAATGTATCTTTAGAAATGAACAGCAGAATGAAACTGTATATCTGTGAAATAACTAAATCTTTGAATTTTACTATCATCGAGTCGTTCATAAAATAATTGGAATTATGTATCAATATTTTACTTATAACCTATTGCATCACGATTTATACGCGTCTATCCTGGCACGTACACAGAATAAAATTTCGGGGGGGGGGAGGGGGGTTACAAAATATAGCAATACAAATTGTACAGCAACATAATAAGACAATTTCTTCCTACTTAGGTACTTATTATTTTTAATGTAACAATTATTATGCTAAATATTCAAACTTTATGTTTGTTGTTATTAAATTTACTAAATTTACTTTACATTAGTTCAGTGTTCAGAAGTAAGTATATTTAGGAATTATGAATATTAGGAATAATAATAAATAAAACTTTAAATAATATGTATTACGAACAGAACAGAAATATATTTGATTATTATATGCACAAACAATTACCTAGGTAAATTAAACTTTTAAGTAGATGGAAGAAAAAAGTCTGCAAAACGTTTGGTACATCAACTTCAGTTGCAATATTTTCAATATTACTTGATTCATTTTCAGTTTCTTCGTTATTTTTAATTTTTTTTACTCCAAAATTGAATAATTATGGTTGTGATTATAATTATAAAAATATTATATAATAATAGGAGTATAATAAATTTGATTTAATTACCAAAGAAATAATTTTTTTTTTTTTTGGGGGGGGGGAGTAACCTGCTGCATGTAAATATTTATTATTGACTACAACTTTATTATAAATGTAATCAATGTTGATTTTATAGAAATCAATAATATCAATTGACGAAGATTTGTTCTTATATCATAATTTCTTATTATTAAATTCAACAAATTATATATACACATTCTATAGATTATATATAAGAAAATATACTCTAGTTATATGTTTAATGGATCAAATAGTATTTGATAAGTACCATTAATCTATATTTTTCTAATTTGGGTATGTTGAATTCGTTTAAGTATGGAAAATATGCAACTTATTATTTAATTTAAACAATATTTAGACTCATAATAATTCATAAAAAAGTCAAAATACTTAAAGATAGTGTGGTATACAATTATTAATCAAAATCTTTGTGTTCTAAAAAAAAACCTATTTTCCGTAGTTATTATTGTCTATAAATCATTAAGAATTAATGAATATACTATCTAATTAAATAGATGGTTTATTGGTTATTAAATTAATACTGTTGTAATAGCATTACATTATATTATTGTAATGAATCTATTATAATAATTTCATGSATACGTATTAAACCATCGTTAACGACGTTAATATGTAATAAATTTAGTACATTAGGAAAATCATAATATTATACTACTTATATGAGCCATGAGTTATGACTTAGTTAATGCTTTGTAAAAATAACCAAATATTATAATATTTAACTATACAGACAGTCTACACTTCTACAGTATTTTTTCAACCCAATGTGCTAACTTTACACGATATAAAAAGAAATATTTTTATAACAATCCAAAGTTCATATAAACATTAAAAAGGTTGGTACAAATAATTTTATTCCAAATTTTACAGAAAATTTGCGTTAATAAAACAAATGGTCACGATGGTACAGTAAACGCAACAACAATAATTACAAGATACGTGTACAAAAAACAACATAAACAATGCGGAAATGGAAATGGAAATGTAATTGTTGAATTAGTGAGAAACATCTTTCTTCGGGAATATAATATTATTATATAAAAATAACGTAAATGGTTCTTTCTTTCTTTTTTGTCTACCGCCTGTTGTACACTCGTCGTGTAATAATATATATTTTATGTTATATGCGTCTTGGGTCTCTTGACGGTTTACACGCAACTGGTCGTAACGTATGGGTGGGGGGGGGGATGGCTGAATATAAATTCAAATTTTTTTTTAGACCCCATTTAATATAGTCGCGTCTTCATTGAACTAATCCCGTGAACACAATAAACATACGATGGGTATGGGCAATGGGCACTTACCCTGAGTGTAGAATATATCACAACATTCACATCAATAATAGAATTTTCGGGATGAACATACCTATACCTATACCCACAATATAATACGTATTATACATGCTACATARTATAGGTACATCGGTCGTTAAAACAAATTCAATTGTATCGATATTTGTACAATTCTCGTCCCTTTAACCCCCTTTGTGCAATATCAGCTCCGAAAGCGAGTATATTATTATATCAGTGAATAAGAAACGAGTGACCTAGTTTCTGAGACGATTATCCCAATTTGTCACGGTGACCAAAGCATTTGTGTACAATAACATGTTCTTTTTTTGATCTTATTGTTAATGTAGTATGTACGGTCAACAATGTCTTGACCCAAGTAAAAGGGTTGTTCGGAATTTTAAGCGGAACACAATAAAAATCGTTTCCCATTTTATGTTATATTTACTTATATGGGAAGAAATGTTTTGTACTTGTACCGCTGAGTCTGTTATAATACCCCWTCGCTTTTGATAGAAGGTTTGAACGATGTGTGAAACAGTATAGGTACTAATCCTAACATGTTTATGACCTGGGAGCCTAAAAATGTTAAGAAAAAATGTATACATAAATAATGTTACAAGTTGTAAAACTGATTTAAGTCTGACAAAAAAAAAAAAAAAATTATAAAAGAACACAGAACCTGTGGAATAAATTTAATTTAATTTAAAACTTTATTAAACATTTATATATATATATAGGTATATAATAACATAAATCAATTTCCTATCAATTTTCGTGAGGATAATTTTGTAAAATTGTATAATATTTTAATATAATATAATCAATAAATTCTAGTGGCCTAAAGTTATATATATTATGAATTTTATATAGCAGCTAGRTTAATTACAAGTATACAAACTATCGTTGACGATATTGTAAGYAGTTATTCTTTTATGTGTGGTAATTATAATACTATAACTAATGACTTGKAGTTCAGTCTTAATCGYGTTTCTCGTAAATAAATCGTACTTATATAATTCTGTTAACGAATCAATGGATACCTAAATTACCTAAATACTTATTAACATATTATGTTAAATCATTTTATGTATAACTTATAGCTATTTAAGTATGGTAGTAACGATGCCTTCATTAAGCACTATTTTTTATAGACATCATTAAATTAATTATAAAATTGTTAATTAAAGAAAACTGATATTTATTTTTTGCTTACCTACTTACTAAGGTTTAACAATATTTTCTTATTTAAATTATTGTTATTTATCCTGTAATTACCAGTCACCAAAACGTGGGTTTTTATCTAATTTAAAACCTATTT